CAAACTTTTACAGTTTCATAATATGATTTGTACTGTGAATAATGTGAGTCAAGTGTTGAATATATGTTGTTTGAAATTGAAGAATTTGATAGTTTCATAACATGATTTTTACTATAATGACTGTGAAAGGAGTGTTGAATAGATTTGTGCTATGATAGTATAGAAGAGTTTGAATACCTTTTCAAAGTGAGCAAGGCTGATGTGTTTCCACTTGGAGTACATTTTGCCAAGGTTCCATTTCATAAACCTTGGGAAGCCTTCTTTGTTGGATGGTCGGAGGAGTTTACTGTGTTCACAGTACCAGTACTGTAAAAAAAATTGAAATATATTAGATAGTTAGAAATAAGTGGATGTTTGATATTTTTGTGTGAAGTAGTTGAGTAGTGTGTTTACCAAGAGTAAAATGACGCATCCAGTGACATTCCTTAGGTTGTTGTTTGCATTTGCCATTGAATTCATCAGTGTGCCTTTTATTGCCTCAACCCAATTGTACTTCTTGATGTTGTTGAGATTGTCAACATAGTTGAGGAAACTCCAACTGAGTGTATAGCCTGTTGTAGGCATGAGAAGTTTCAAGCACAAGTAAAGGGTGATGACCTTTGCAAGATCTTGACGATCATTGGTTAATTTTCCTTTTTTTGTTTGTTGAAACATTTTGGTCAAAGATTTGCCATCCAATCTCTTTACTAATTTGAATCTTCGTTTGTAAAATGCAAGCTCAAAATCCTTTAGTCTTGCATAGGATTTGGTGGTGATGCTGTCTTCTCCACAGTCGATACCAAAAATGAGCTTGACGTCACTGTTTCTGAGTTTCATTTCCTTTTTGCCAAGTATAAATGCTCTTTTTCTTTTGTTGTAGAGTGTTGTCATTTCTGCTACAATGGAATTGTAGCATCTGCACCAAGAGGCCTTCAGTTGTGCTGAGGAGAGAGCATTTATAATAGGCCAAAAAGGGATTTTTTTTTCCAGCTCTGTCAGTTGGGCTTTTGTGAATTTGACCCCCTTCAACAGTTTGATTGATGTTTCGATGTTGGAACGGTAATTAAACTGTTGGACTCTCTTTGCAGGGACTGCTGCTTTTTTCCCTTTTGATGCCTTGGTTTTTGTTTTGGGAGTTGATTGGCTTTCTTGGAGCTTTCTTTTTTTGGTTGGAGGAGCTTCTTGTTTTTTTGTTGGCTTTCTTTTGTTTGTTTTTGTTGTGGTTGGAGGTGTGGTTGGTGTTTGTTGTGTGGGTGGGGTCTGTGGTGTAGTTCTTAGGCTTTTTCTTGTAGGTAGTGTGGTTGTTTTGTGGGTTTTTTGGTGGGGTCTGTGGTGTTTGGTTGTTTTTGGTTGTGGTGGTTGGGTTTTTTGTGGAGGGGGAAATGTTGGTGGCATTTCAGTGGATATAGGCGAAGGACTTTCAAAAAGAGAGATACTTAAATCCCTTATTGGATTTTTGGGCATATGGGTTTGTTTCTTCCAATATCTTCCAACAGCTATTTCTGAAAAAATGAAAGTGACAGCAGGGCATGAGTAATATAGTGACAAAACTGTATAATTTTGCAGTTTAATATAAAGTTGTATCCATTTGTTGTTAATAGTTACAAAACTGTATAATTTGATAATTTGATTTGCACTTTATTATAAGTTACCTATTTGTTTTGAATAGTGATTAAACTGTGTAATTTTACAGTTTCATTTGTAGTTTGAATAAATTTAGATATGTTACTTATAGAGTGATGAAATGAAACTGTATGATGTTGCAGTTTTTATAAACAGTATCAACAATAAGAACAACCCATTGTATTTTGTAAACAGCAACAATAACAACGAGAATATTAAGTATTCAACGAAATGTAGCAACAATACGAAGAAGAAAAGTCAATATTGAACAACAAGAAGAAGTAAGAACAACAAGAATAAGAATAAGGTGTTGAATGTGTAAAAATAGGGATTTATGTGTAAAAACAGTGGATTAGGATGTTTAAAAACAGGGGACTAGAATATTTTAAAACAGGGGACTAGAATGTTTTAAAACAGGGGATTATATATAAAAGAGGATTTATACATTTTGAAGTATGTAAAATGTGTTTTACAAGGGTTTTTTTTATGAAAGTGTTATTGAAACGGTATATACAAAATACGAAAGAATAATGTACAAATTTGAATGAAAAATAATGGATAGGTGAAAAGAAATGTTACTTTTTTTCTCCATTTTTGTGAATCGGAAGTCAGGAACTATGAAATTTCTTCAGAGTGGTGATGGTTCTTCGTGTTGTTGAGAGTCGCCGATTGGAGAATATAAACGACTTAGTGTTGTGTTGAAGATAAACGGTTTCGTTTTGTGGTTAGGGTAGGGTTTCAAAGGGAATGGAGTCGAACGGATGAGAGATGGAGGACTGAGAATGTGATCTTGAGCGGCGGAGATGTGACAGTGTACTGATCAGACTGAGATGATCGTGGGTGATGGTTGCGCGCGTGTAAATTGGATGATACATTGTGGGTATTTTCATCTGATTGATAATTTGAGGACTTAATGGAGTATTAAATTTGTTTTGGGCCTAAATGGGGCATGATATGTTGGGCTTGGACCTTTGGGTCACATTTAGGCCCAAAACAAATTTAATACTCCATTAAGTCCTCAAATTATCAATCAGATGAAAATACCCACAATATATCATCCAATTTACACGCGCGCAACCATCACCCACGATCATCTCAGTCTGATCAGTACACTGTCACATCTTCGCCACTCGAGATCACATTCTCAGCCCTCCATCTCTCATCCGTTCGACTCCATTCCCTTTGAAACCCTACCCTAACCACAAAACGAAACCGTTCATCTTCAACACAACACCAAGTCGTTCATATTCTCCAATCGGCGACTCTCAACAACACGAAGAAACATCACCACTCTGAAGAAATTTCATAGTACCTGATTTCGATTCACATAAATGAGGAAAAAAAGTAACATCTCTCTTCACCTATCCATTATTTTACATTCAAAATTTGTACATTATTCTTTCATATTTCGTATATACTGTTTCAATAACACTTTCATAAAAAAATCCTTGTAAAACACATTTTACATACTTCAAAATGTATAAACCCTCTTTTACATATAATCCCCTGTTTTAAAACATTCTAGTCCCTTGTTTTTAAACATTCTAATCCACTGTTTTTACACATAAATCCCTATTTTTACACATTCAACACCTTATTCTTATTCTTGTTGTTCAATATTGCCTTTTCTTATTGTTGTTATTTTTGAATACTTAATCTTCTCGTTGTTATTGTTGCTGTTTACAAAATACAATGGGCTGTTCTTATTGTTGAGATTTTTTGATAATGTTTACACATTTTGTGATTAAAAAATGTTTGGAGAAAAAATGTACAACACTATAACAAAATGTGCAATTTCATTTGTGAACTACAAATTATTGTAATTCTATTAAAAATTTATGTAACATTTATCATAAAAATATATAAAATATATATAAATAAATAAATAAATAAATAAAACGTAACAAATAAAATGTGTATATGATAGCATTACCTACACAAAATAAGAAGAGAGTTTTGTACAATTGTTTGTAGGAGTAACAATCCCCCTAATTATCACCTAGCAATTCTGTTTCTGGTATTCAATCTTGAATTAACAAATTCTAAGATCATTATTGTTTTGCTTTTCCCGAAATATATCACTTAGCGACAACATGTGTTACTCCATTCTATGGCATTTATTAAAGCAAAACGAAGCCTTCTCAATCAAAGGAGGAGCAAAAAAGCATATCATGAATATATGACTAAGTGATCGTTTGGTTATCATCTTAGGCTAAAAAATTATAAAAAGATAAAAAAATTAAAAAAATCACAAAAGGACAAAAATCACAAAAGAATAAAAACAAATTTGTCATTCTAAAACTAAAAAATCAAAAAATCCAAACAAGAAATCCAAACAATCAAAAGAGTCTCATGCTAAAATAGTCAAAAAAGCCAAAACGCTAATTAAAAAAGTCATTTTCAAACGACCCCTAACACTACTTACTTTTTGAGCCACTAAAATTAAAAGAATGGCTCTTTTTTCATACTACTATTTTCCATTGACGACGATGGTTGACTAATGAGGATAAAAATATAAAATTGACATATTAAGGTTTCGTTTGGGAAGAATGCTTAGGTTGGGTTTGGGACTATTTCAGTCACAAAAAAACAAAATAAACTTTTTAATCCAATAAGACAGAATATCATATCCAATCTATAATCATTACATTCTTTCTCTCACAAAAACTCAAAAAAACTATAAAAAAAAAAAAAAAAAAACCCTTCCCGAACGAGGCTTTTTAGCTCCAGGCTAAAAATAGCCAAAAAACCAACTCACTTTCCAAACAAACCCTAAACAAACTGGTTTATAAAATAAAACTAATATTAGGAAATACATCTCTTTCTGCATTTTGACATACAAATCACCAAATACAGAAAAATAAGAATAAAGAAAGAAAGAAAAAGTTACATAACTCATTTATTTATAAAAAATAAAAAGTAAAATAAAAAGCGTGATGAAAAGACCTTTTGAGCTCAATAAAATAAATGAGAAATGAGATGGATCAAACAATCAGAGAGATGAATTTAAGAGTTGCAAATATACTGCTAATTCATTTCAACGATTACTGAAAATAGGCTGCAAATAGGCTGCTGTTGATCTCTTTGGGTTTCTTATAGCAACACACTCAGCTAGTTAGTCCCTATTAGAGTTGCCTGATTGCCTGTCGTATGTTGCAGGGGGCTGTTCTACCTTGGTTATGTGTTTTTTCTTTTCGTTGGTCCCTCACCAACTATGGGGTGCTAGCAAATGATAGGATGATCTCTTTGGTGCCAACCTAGTGGGGATCAATTTGCTCGTTGTGATGCGTTGCACTCCCATGCCCTTTATTGATGTATTTAACTTGTTTCATTGTGCTTGTTTGTTCATCAATAAAGTTTTATTTTGCCGATCAAAAAAAAAATTTCAACGATTACTGAAAATGTCTAAGAGACTTATAAACAGAAAATTATTAGATATTCTCAAAGTATCACAAGTCCATACTCCTTTACTAATTATCATTCACCATATCCCTTCACATTCTCAACCATTCCTTCCAAACATTCCTTAATGAATGAAATTGTATGCTTCTCACATTGAAGTTTTTTGAGCTCAAAAAAATAAATAAAAAATGAGATGCAACCAACAACACACACGAAAATTGCGAGAGCTAAAGAATGTGCTAACACGGCATAAGAGCCTGTAATGAATGCCACTATCAACGCTGCCACGGCAACTACAACAAGAGATGAGGCCACCATATAGCGTTTTTCCAGTGTCTCCACGTTGTCTTTTTCATTGAAATAAAAAACTGATGCAGTGACATATAGAAAGACAGAGGAAATGGAGCATATCATGGCTATAGTATTTGTAATAACAAATACTTTAAAAGCTACTTCTCCTAGTAGAAGTGGCATTCCTTGATTTGAACCTTTATTGCTATTAAAACCACCAGGCATTGTGCAACTGGCCGCAAAGGTGATGGTTGTTATCAGTATTGCCACTATTATATGGGTGTCAGCCATTTCCTTTAGTTCTTTATTCCATGCTTTCCCTTCTTCTTTAACTTGTGCTTCCCTTTTCTTTCTTTCTTCTTTCCTTATTTTTGTTGTCAACTCTTGATCCCGACTGACTATATTTCTCGCGCCACCAATTGGATTGTGTTCCTGTTTGTTTTTTTGTTATGATCAGTTTGAAAAGGCAAATCTAATAATATTCTGATGAATCTGAAAAAAGTAGTACGTTAATACACAAAGTGTTGTAACTAATGGCATCAAAATGTATGGTAACTAATGGCATCAAAATATATCATAACTAAACAACATTTAAGGTACGATCAAATAATTAAAGATATGTTTGGTTGTAATCACTACAACATTTTCTTAGTTTAGTGGCATTTGAAAATGTCACAAAATTATTGAGTCTTATGACATTTTGAACAAGTGTCATTTGTATCCGTGCCACGATAGATACTAATGCCACGGTAAATACTTGCAAGTGTCACTACACCGTCATGGCTAAAAACTTTCAATGACATTTTGATGTCATGGTAGATATTATTTGTGGCACTATCAAGCGCCATTAAAAAAAGAGTTAGTGACACTTATAAGTGTCATTACACCATCAAGACTAAAATCTTTCAGTGACACTTTAATGTTATGGTAGACACTATTCGTGACACTATCAAGTGCCATCCGTGACGATAATTCGTTGTCGAATAATTTGATCTGCTCTTGCGGAGACTCGAACTGCCAACCTCCCGCACCATAAACCTTATACACCACACTCTTCCCACTACACCTCTATAGCACCACATGATTATATATGCAACATATATTATTTATATAGTACATACATCTATATTAATATAAAAGTATATGTATAAACATAATTATTTTATTGAATATAATTTATGTAAAATAAACTATTTACTAGCAAAATAAAAAAAAGACCACCTTTGGCGACTAAAAATATTTTTCAGTCGCCAATTCTATCCTGTGGCTTCTAATTGTTTTTTAGTTGCTAAAAAACTTAACTTTTGCGGACCAAAATCGGATTTGGTCGCCGAAGGTGCACTTTCAGCTACCAAAATTTTGGTCACCAAAAAATTTAATTCCCGTCTTAAGATTTTAGTTCTCATGCGCTAAAAATGACCACTTTTGGTGACTAAACTTATTTTTTAGTCGCCAATTGTAGACTTTTGGCTACTAAAATTTTTTTAGTCACCAAAATGCTTTACTTTTGGCTACTAAAATTTTTTTAGTCAGTAAAACCCATATAATCAGCGACCAAACTTATTTTTAGTCACCAATTGTAGACTTTTGGCTACTAAATTTTTTTAGTCGCCAAAAAGTTTTACTTTGGGCTATTAAAAAATTTTTAGTCACTAAAACCCATATAATCAGTGACCAAACTTAGTTTTAGTCGCCAATTGTAGACTTTTGGCTACTAAAATTGTTTAGTCGCCAAAAAGCTTTACTTTTGGCTACTAATGCTATTTTGGTCGCTGAAAGCTATACTTTCGGCGACCAAATTTTTTTTGGTCAGGAAATTTAGTCGCCGAATGTGTTTTTTCCTATAGTGTATATGGAGTTTAATTTATTTATTTTTAATCATTTACTGCATTTTAAAAATTTAGAAAATATATTGGCATTTTTTGTTTTTTCAAAAATGTCATTATAAACTTGGAAAGTTTTTGGCTTAGTGGCATTTCTCAAAATGCTATAAAATATTTGTTTATGACACTTTTCACCTAAGTGCCATAAAAAGTAATTCGCACCTACCTAGTGTCTTGACATTTTTTAAAAAATGCCATTGCTACTAAAGTTTAGTGGCATCTGTTGATAAATGTCACGAACATAATTTTGTCATTATTTTATAAAATGCCATAAAATTGATGTACATTTCTTTATTGAAATGTCACTAGAGCCTTATATGTTTGTGGTTCTGTGGCATTTTTCTAAAATATTTAATGCCAATTTTTATTTTTGTGACATTTTCTAAAAACATGTCACTAGTGTAGTGTCACTAAAGTGTAAATTTGTTGTAGTGACATTTTTGTTGTAATGAAGTGACACTTTTTTTAATTGAAATGCCACTAGAACCTTGTATGTTTGTGGCTCTATGACATTTTTCTAAAAAATACTACCAAATATTCTTTTTGTGACATTTTTTAAGAACATGCCACTAGTACGGTGTCACTAAAATGTGTTTTTGTTGTAGTGAACTAAAATAATCAAAACTAAGTTATAACTAAGACCACTATAAATCATTACTAATACCATAATAGGTCATAACTAAACAACCATTAAAGGCATAATCAAAGTCATCTTGGATCATGACTAAAATAACAATCACAAAAGATAATAACTAAGTCATAAACAACACGATAATATGTCATACACAAATCATAACTAACATACAACACATAAGAGATTTAGAGACCTTTTTTTTTTGTTTTTAAAAGTCAAAAAAAATAAAAAAATAAAAATAAAAATTAGAAACAAATTCCAATCGTCGCGAGAGTAGTCGCTAAAGGATAATCCCGAAAAATTAAAAAAATAAAGCTTTTAGGGACAAAATTTAGAAAAATGTCACTAATAAATGCAAGGAAAAATTATTTGGGCCCCAAAAAGTTCATTTTTTTGGATAAAAAATTTGGTCCCAAAAAATTTCTAAATTTCCTCGCTAAAAATATAATAATGATACTTTTAACAACAAAATATTTGATCTCTAAAATGTAATTTTATTCCTGATTTTTTGTAACAAAAAATGACAAATGTAGTAACTGGAGAATAAAGTATACCCATTTTTTTTTGTGTGTAATATAGAATTTCCTTACCCAAAAAAAAAAAAAAATGCCCTAAATAATTTACTTATAAAGTAATTTATTAAGGCTATTTTTGCAATAGAAATATATTAAATATGTCTAAATTTTAATGAGAATAATTCTATTTGTTAGATTTTTGTAATTGGCAATCTTGTTTGATAAAACTCCTTTCAGTTGTAATTTTATTTGCTCTTTTTGTTTCAGTGAGGCTATGAGTATTTATATGCGAATTCAACCCGAATTGTGTTTATATTTGCCATTTCATTGACTATGTACGGAGATCGAGCGGTAATTTGTGCGCTCGAACAGTGAATAGGAGTTATCAAATCATCAAGGAAACATTTATAAGCACACCCTTCAATATAAAAAATCTTGATAGCTCTACTCTTTCATACTTTGGTCGCTTAAATACTAAAAACAGTAAACAGTGCACTTTATAATAAACAGATTTGCAAAAACTATCCGAGCGCACATTTCACCATTCGAGTGGTGCGAGTAAAGGCGGTGCAAAACATATAGGCCGACTGCTTGAATGGTAAAACTTGCTTCGCAGAAGTTCAGTTTACAAACAGAGATATTGGACGATGGATCTATAACTTCCATATTAGTATATCATCAAGGAGTTTGTCTTTATGCTTTTATTCACAGAAGAGGAAGTGTTCTTTGGTGGATTTTGGTGAATTTTGGCTTGAAGCTTTGGTGGATTCTGGAATGGCTCATCGTCGCGGATTCGATATCAACGCTGTGGATTCAACGTTAGACAAGATAATTCCAATGTGAAGACGGTGGTGGAAAAGGCACATCGGGTTTGGTTCAATTTCTGGCTTGGATTTGTTAGGTAATTGAGAATACTCATGTATAATTCTCTTTTATCTTCTTAGTAGATTGTTTTGTAACTTAACCCGTGGCTTTTTATCACAATTGAAGGCGCTCCAATTATAGTTTTTCCCACATTAAATCATTGTGTCGATTTGTCTTAATTGTTTGATTGAGATCGTTATTTATTATTTTAAATTGAAATATAATCACGAATCAATATTTCAAAGGTTATTTAAATTTTTCACTGTTATTTAAAATTATTTTTCAAAGACAATTAGATATTATCTATGAATTATTTGTCAAAAATATTTGAACGTAAGCTGGAGGAGAAGTTATATATTGGTGGGATCTAGGGGCACCGCCAAGTGATACTCTAAGGGCATGTTTGATTAACTGGATTAGAGTAAGGAATTGAAATTATTAATCTGTCAGTCCAATAATCTTGTATTTGTTTTGAAATTTTGTTTCAGGATTATTAATCTAATGGATAATTAACCCAACAAATTTGTAGGATTATTAGTAATGGAATAAAAACACTCTTTTACCCTCAACTAAAAATTAAAATACTTATTATTTTTATATAATATTATATTTTAGAAGGCTAAAAATAATTTTTAAAAATTTAGAAATATTTTTTGATATATTGGTGGGTCTTGGGGCACTGCTAAGTGATACTCTAAGGGCATGTTTGATTAACTGGATTAGAGTATGGAATTGAAATTATTAATCTGTCAGTCTAATAATCTTGTATTTGTTTTGAAATTTTGTTTCAGGATTATTAATCTAATGAATAATTAACCCTACAAATTTATAGGATTATTAGTAATGGGGTAAAAACACTCTTTTACCCTCAACTAAAAATTAAAATACTTATTATTTTTATATAATGTTATATTTTAGAAGGCTAAAAATAATTTTTAAAAATTTAGAAATATTTTTTGATATTTATTTTATCAAATTAATTTATATTTTTAAAAAAATTAAAAAAAAAACTGAACCAAACATGGTTTTTGTATTTTTTTTTTTTTATTTTGCATTTATTTATTTATTTATAATTTTTTTCAAAACCACATTTATGAAGAAATTTTGATAAAGTAAAGATTGTGAATAAACATTGATGGAGGATAAGATTAGAAAAGAAAATAAATATAGTTGTAATCCTACATTTATATATTTTCTTATCCAATGCAAATCAAACAATGAATAAGGGGATAATTTATCCTACTAATTCAATTAGATAGTGAATACTACACTAATTTGATGGGATTATTAATACATTCACTATTAGTCTTATGAATCAAATATAACTTAATAGTATTGTGATTAGTGGAGGGTACGGAGTCCACAAATTTATATTAAATAATTAAAAAATATAAATAAATGTGATAAATTAAAATTAATGAAGAGTATGATCACGTAACCTTGTTAAACCAACAAATAATTTTTCGCGGTGAAAGTGCTGATTAATCTTATGATATTGGTAGGAAAAAAACATTACAAACAGTGGGGCACTTTTTAGAAATTTCACTCCAGGTGAAGTGTAGAAAAATTATCAACGGATTAAATTACCCTTTTATTTTTTTATTTTTTTATTTTTTGTCTTTTTCCCTCATTCTTTTTAGGGTGCTCATCTCTCACATGTCAAATCACTCACTCTCTCAAGAAAAAAAAAAATCTTCTCAACCATGATACAGACCCCATTATCTCCCATCCTTGGGGGTTAGTGATTAAAGAAAAAAAAAAATTTGATTAATGACCGTTCATTGAGAGTCTTGAAATCTCCCCTAGGGGTCACAAGCATTATGCAAACTCTCCCCTCTCTCTCTCTCTCTCTCTCTCTCTCTCTCTGTTTTTGTTTTTCATTACTCCTTTTATTTATTTTTGATGAATTTTGTATAGCTTTTAAACTATAAACTTGATTTTTACAAAATGAATTTTGTATAACTTTTAAACTATAAACTTGATTTTTACAAAATTAATTATATTAAAAACTTATTGACAATATTTTTAAAATTAAATTAATATTAAATATATTTAATAATAATTTAAAACTATTTAAAATTTTATATTATTTTGAAATTTTTTTAAAAATAATAATGAGATGTGTAATTAAAAAGTGTACGAAATTTAAAAAAAAATGAACATAAACTATTTTAAATTACTTGAATAAAAATTTTATTTTTATTCTTTAAGACGTAATTATTAATAATCACTATTTAGTTACGCATTCAATACTAATTTAAATTTTTTTCTTTAAATTATTTGAATAAAAATTTTATTTTATATTCTTTATTAATTTTAATTTTTTCCTCAAATACAAATAAGTTTGATGAAAATAAACACAAAATAGATATTTTATAAATTAAAAAAATTAATTTTGCTCTAAAATATTTTAAAATATATTTTTAAACTTAAATTATTGAAATTAACCTTTTTGTAGCGATCACAGTTTTGCCACTTCGCTGAGTATGTCGGGGATCAAGCTGCCCGGTCAGCTCGCAGGGTTCAAAGGGGCAGCGCCCCTTGGTGGGTCGAAGGGCAGTACCCTGGCAGGGATCGAGCTGCCCAGTCAGCTCACGGGGGGTCTAGGGGACAGCGCCCTTTGACGGGTCCTAGGGCAACGCCTTGGTGGGGTTGAGGGGCAGCACCCTCGAAGCAAAAATGCAAAATCCATTAGAAGTTGCTTGTCTGCTCGAGCGGCCGTTTATGCGCACGGGCGGAGAATGTTTGGTTTCAGAAGTTTGACCTGTTTGCAAATGTGTGTTGAGAGTACGAGACTCTCATTTTGCTGTGACTCTATGTGTAAGCCAAGGGCTGTATGCGTGTGGGTTTGAATAACCGTTTTGTGTAACCAAGCTCAAGCCTTGGAAACTTGTAAACCCTTGAGGGTATTTATTTGTTTATTTACTTGTTGTTGGATTAATGTATTGTTGCATGAAGAACTATTGTATCATGTAATATAAGTTTGGAGATTTATATTCGGTTTTCTTTGAAAGAGTCATGATTGTTGTATTATCATTTGAATTCGAAATTTGGGGCGTTACACTTTTTTTGTTTGTTTTCATCAAACTAATTCTATTTCTCAGAAAATAATTGTGAATGTAATTTCCTAAATTATCTAAAATTTAATAAAAAAAATATTATCACTCTATTTTGTTATGTTTTTAAAATATATATTTTAAAAATATATGTAAACTAGTTCGACAAAAATAATAGAAAAAAATATTAACTCAAATTATACAATTAAAAATAAAAGTAAAAATATTCAAACATACAAATATTAACAAAAATGTGTTTTTGTTTAAAAAAGACAAATTAATATGAAAATAAAAAATAATTTTTTTTACCAAACTATTTTTATTTTTTTTAGAAAAAAAAAGGAAGATAAAATTTAAAAATTCAACCAAATATTTTTTATTTCAATTTTAAAAATAGTTGCAAAGCAAAAATTAGTCACAAAAAAAAAAAGAGAAAAAAAGAATTCACATAGTGTGCTTCAATTTTAAAAATATTTATGTGGCATGCAAGTCCAATATGTGTGGGGTGAAAATTTAATTTGTGTGGGGAGCAAATCTAGTGTGTTGACCTTTTGTAAATTCTCTCACACAGATTAGACTTGCACCTCCACATAGATTTGACTTGCACAACACACAAATTGGACTTGCACTCCCAGACAGATTCAACTTGCACCCCGCATATAATGCACTTGCAAACAGACTAGACTTGGACCCCACATAAATTAGACTTGCACCCCACGCAAATTTGACTTGCAACCCGCACAAATATTTTTTTTTTTTTGGGTGCAAAATTAGTAATACATTATGGTGTGTGATGTGCATGAAGGATAACGTGGCATAGCCAAAGCAAGATGAAAGGTATGCTTCTCAACATTATGGTATGTAAAATGCATGCCATGAGAAAACATGTCATATGCAGTCAAAGTTAGTATCCTTACCTTCGTACGAGACAACAATGTGTTTATTGGGGTCACATTTTCATTGTTTGTAGCTAACCGATCTCCACTAAACCAAAGCTCACGCCAGATATCCCGTTTGCCGACCTCCAAAAAAGTAGCAAGCAGATGGAGTGATGTGTTTCCTTCAATGTCCTTCTGATTTATAAGATGGAAAATCCATGACTTTTTAAAAATATATTCCATCACCTTTTTGTGCTCCGTATCCACAACAATGTGAAGAACATTTTGTCCTTTACTATTGACCATCTCCCAACAATTTGGACACTGTGATAAAATCTCTTCTATTACACTTACATGTCCATGCGCAGCAGCTATATGAAGAGCTGTCTTTTCATAACCCTCCTTGTCTGTTGTAATGTACGCCACTGATTTGTCTTTTTCTAGCATTAATTTAACTCCATATTGATTACCAAACCGTGCAGCATAGTGAAGTGGTGTCCAACCGTACTCATCTGTTTCCTTGATTAGATCCGACTTCCATTCCAATAAAAGTTTTGTACTTTCTGAAACAGAAGAATAAGAAGAAAAAACAAAAGTATTAGTAAGGACAATTTAATACATATCTCAACAATAAAAAAGCTTCAACTTTCTTTCCTTTTTTTTCCTTATGTTTTTTGAATTAATTTTGGTAACAATTTCCTTTGCAAGTCCCTATATATCAGTTATTAATTGCACATTTGTCCTCTCACTTCAAAAGACCTACTAAGTTAGCCATAAGCTTGAATTTGAATCTTTGTTTCAGGTTTGATAAAATGTACATCCTCTTTTACTAATTCTAATTTCTTGTCTACAATACATGTAACTTCAATTTTTTGGAAAGATATTTTTGATGTTATTATTACTGCAACTAATAAGTGAACAGAGCAGGGTTATGTATGCCTAGAAGAATATACCCTTTTTTCTCTCTATAATTGTACATGTAATTAAATTGGTTGAAGAAATTGAAGTAGCCACAAACCTATTTTCAATCTGTCTGTTGTTGCCGCGTGCAATGCCGTTTGACCCTTTGGGCCACCATAAGTTGGCGATCTGCAATTTTTCAAAATCATAGACACCATGTCATTGTGTTGTCTCTCAGCTGCCAGGTATAGTGGAGTTTCCTTGGCATTATTAGGTGGGTGCGTAAACTCAGGATCTTCTTTAGCTAACCATTCCACCACATCTACGTTATCAGGATTTCGCACTGCCATGTGCAAGACAGTGTCATTGTCCTTATTTGTGGCCCTCAACATCTCCATGGCTGCTCCACCCCCGCTTTCAACTTCTTCATGGTCTAGTCTTTTTGCATGTCCTACGAGTGCTTTCACTATGTCCAAGTGTCCTTCTCTCACTGCAATATGAAGAGGAGTCTCGCCATCGATGTTCAAGCAGCATAACAATGATGACAACGGACTCTTTTCTAAGATTATTTTCACATATTTTTTGTTACCAAATTGGGCTGCAACATGGAGGACTGTGTTTTTATTTGAAGTGAATTGTAGTTCAAGTTGTTGTTGGTCATTAATGTATTGCATGAGGTAGTGGACATCTTCATCATTGTCTTCATTCTCTTTGCCTCCTATTTTTTCTTCTGATAACTTGGTATCTGACTCACTGAACCAATTAATCCAGGCACACAATCGGCTAGACCAACTAATATGGGGCACCAATTCGGGTTTCTTTTCACCTTCCATTTTCTCTTTGTCTCCCATGGCTTCTCTGTACAAATTGGGATCCATTTCGGAGGCTGCGATAAGATAGTAATAAGAATGTTATGATCTATTCGTCTCATGGCTTTTACAACATCTATCTACATTCAAGAAAATGGGGTTTCTTATAACAAGCCTTGTGGGAATTCTAAATTCTCAAGATAATTTTGTTAGTTTTTTATATTTTTAAATAATTAAAAATCTATTGGTTAACCCAACCTAAAAAAAAATAACTCTAATTGTCCATTAAATTTGAATTTCAAAATTCAAATATAAATCCTATTAATATGAAAAATCATTAACATATCTCATATATTTGCTTCTCTCTCAATCTTTTCAAATAATGCCAATAAAAAATATAAAGTAAAATTAAAAGACATGTAATTTTGAAAACCCTAAATAACATATAATAACAATTCAACATGAAAAGTATTTTAGAAGAAGGCATAATCCTACACAATTGAGCAATCTAATGCAACATGTATTTAGAAGAAGTTGATTTTATACTTATTCATATATTTGTTTCTTTTGTTATGTACAATTATTTACATTTAAATGAATGTTTGAATAACTCTTCCTTTTGTGTTCTCTCTTTCAACCTTTTGCCTTGAATATTTACATGTAATCTACTTATAAATAATAATATATGCATATGATGTTAGTATATAAATGTGTACATTTTGTATGTATATGTCTAATGTTGATTATTTATAATGTATCATAACTTATATGCATACCTTTGCTTTTAAATCGCTGTTCAATTTACTTTGAATATTAATATATTGATCTTCCGTATATTACTATTTCACAAAATTTTGTATTGAAATCCTTCTTAACTCTCTTTATTCTCTCCAAATGTTCATCATTCAAAATATATAAAATATATCACTCAAATTTCATTAAAAAATATTTGCGGTGAGGGGTATGAGGATTTTTAAAATCTTGAAATAGTTAGAGACACCATGCCTCATATTTATTGAGTTCATTTGATTTTTTAAGATTTTTAATGAATTGCTTAGTTTTCAAAAATAAAAATATAAAATTTAGAAATAAATAATTTTAAATTTTGAAATTATATAAGATTAAAATTATATTTAAAATTTCCTTTCAAAAATTTTTAAATTTCAAACTAAATATGAGTTGGATGTGGCTATTTTTTTTTTTTTTTTTAACTTTCTATATTAAGATTTTTAAATTCCAAAATCATAGATATGATTAGATGGATTAATATTTCTGTGCCATATGCATTTCTTAATGTTTACAAATTTTTTAAAAATTAAGAAATTTAGATTAATGTTTTGGAACTAGTGAGAAATCTCTTTTGCTTAATCTATAGTATAGTGATGTCTAAAAAACTTAAAAAAATTTAAGTGTCAAAATATTTATAGCATATTTATTAATTAAAAGAAAATTTTGAATATCGTGCAAATTTTTGGCTATGCAGCAGTGTTGTTAATATTTATGTGCCATATGCATTTCTTAATGTTTACAAATTTTTAAAAAATTAAGAAATTTAGATTGATGTTTTGGAACTAGTGAGAAATCTCTTTTGCTTAATCTATAGTATAGTGATGCCTAAAAAACTTTAAAAAATTTAAGTATCAAAATATTTATAGCATATTTATTAATTAAAAGAAAATTTTGAATGACATATATCGTGCAAATTTTTATACCATTTCAAAAGATACATATATCATATTTAAAAAATATGTATTTTAAATTGTATATATTAACCATATCTAAGCCTTCTATTTAAAAAAATAAAAAAATGGATGCCATAAGATATATGTGGTATAGAACTATTGGTCTATCTATTTTATTTTTATTTTTAATTTAAGAATTTGTAGATGGAAAAAAATTTAATCATATCTAAATTGATCTAATTTGAGATTTTTTTTTAAAAAAAAGAGTCCAAATAAAATTTATTTATTTGTAATTTAAAAAGATTTAAATAGAAAATATGAATGAATTTTTTGGTTATATATAATTGGATAAACTTTAACATCAAATAAACTAAAACTGAAAAAATTATATTTTAATTTTATCATAAATATAATTTTTGTAATTTATTCTATTTTTTCATCTTTACCAATCAAATTATGACATCCAGTTCTTATAGAAAACTTAGAATAGATAATTAATGAAATAATTGCAATATATATATCACTACAAGAAAAATCATTTTTGGCGACTAAATTTTTAGTCGCCAAAAGTCCGTTTTTAGTCGCCGAAAGTCGAGTTTTTACTTTCAGCGACTAATTAGTTCTTATAGAAAACTTAGAATATATAATTAATGAAATAATTGCAATATATATATATAAGAATCCAGCGATTGAATTTATTATTCATTAAATATGTATATTTTAATTAAGATTATATCTTAATTCAAATATTCTAATAAAATGGTTAAAATTTAATTCATTCTAAATTATATTTTTTATATATGCACGGGTCACATGCTAGTATATTAATATTTCAAAACTTATTTATATAAACATTAAAATATTAGGACAATTAAAATTTCTACTATGTGTTTTTGTATCAATAGTTAAGGTCAATGTAAAATGTTTAAATTATGCTATATATACCAATTAATATACACATTAATGTACTAACAGATGATGTGACATCATTTGTATGGTTTTTGGTATTTGTAACTAATATAATAAATGTAGCCAATAATTATATCATAAAAAAAAAAAAAAAATTAAAGGAATTGCTTCATTAAAAAGCAGAGTGGTTCAAACCTGCATGAGAACATGATACTTATAAAAGTATATAACAAGGCACACAAAAAGAATAATTTGCCTTGTTAAAATTATATAGCTACAAATGATCAGTTCTCTTTCAAATTGTTTGAGTGAGTGTAACACAGCTCTCTTGTTTTCAACAAATACTTCCTAAAGCTTCAAATGCATGGAATCAACTCCAACATTTCCCAAAATGATTAGATAGATGACAAGTATAATTTAGAAAATGGATCATTAGCTAAGTGACATTGATGTTATATTTAACAATTATATGGCAACAACATTTCTTTTCCCCCAAGTTAGATATATTATATATAATTATATTTTGCTAGAGTTAATAGAAATAAGCTCACCACTGTTAATGATATAATTATATCGGGGAGGTGTGTTGGTCTTTTTGGTTGAAGGGAGAGAATACGGTGCCTGCAAATGACAAGTGATACTTTTTTCCAAGAAACTGGCTGTATGGCCTCTCTTCATACCAAATTGAGCAGAAAGATCATCGTTGCTCAACTCAAGAAGCTTTGCAAGAGATTTCCCAGAATCCTCAAGCTTATCTCCATATTGCATTAGAGCGCGATCATGGAGGTATGACCTCATTTCCAATGCATCCTATTAGATGTAAGAAAGAGAGATGGTTTTGATGAAATTACATTAATTTTTCAAAAGTAGAACTGTGTGCCCAAGGAAAATTGAAGAAGAGAGGGTTTGATAGTAATAAAAATACCTTTTGTTGTTGAGTCATATTGATTGCATCCATATCTTCTGATTTCATAAGTTTCAAGTTCCGTACATCATCCCAACCTTCCTCCAATAGCTTTGGAAGAATTCCCTTCAAAGCTCCATTCCCAACAAAATCCTCCACTGAAAAGTAAGTCATGCTATATGTTTTGTGAGAGAGGAGAATGGAAGTGAACTCTTTATGAAAATGAGTTCTAGATATACAACCAAGTTGACTGATAATAAGACCAACTTATTTTTTTTTTTTGATCGGCAAAGAAAAATTTCATTAAAAACATGAAATTTACCGGTTCAAGGAAATAAAACGCACTGAGAGAGATTCGAAGAGTAAAAATTCACTCTCCTACTACTGCTACTCGCGTTCTTACAACTTATCTCCTTATAAGACCAACTTATCTCCTTATATATACATGAGGGAAAATTCCATTGTCCACGCACCTTCGAAAAGTTGTGTACTATACGTTATGATTATCAACATTTGTAATTTAAGTTAGAACAAATTATATTCATGTTTCTTGTAATGTAATTTGTCCCTTATATCTATTTGATTATGGTAATTATAATTATGTTAATATTTTTCACATTATGTTAATATAAACCAATTAATTAATAATACCTTTTCAAAAATTGGACTACATCACGAGACAAAATAGTATATATTCATTCTCTTCTGATTTCCTCTTGAATGGGCTATTTTGTTATTGATTTATGTTTAAATTCTTGATAGATGTTATGATGCAATGTAAAAAATTATAAGGTGAAATTGGGGAAAAACTATCATAAATGGTATAATTTTATGCGTTTTGAGTCATAACTAAAAAAAAAAAAATCATAACTAAACTCAACATGAGGCATAATAAAAAATTTCATGAGTTATAACTAAAATATTATCATAATTAAAGAAGAAAATTGGACATAACTAAATAAAAAAAATATGGTGAACGTAAAGATGCATATATGATACACCCTTTTAAAGGGTGTGTATAATAGAATTTCTCAATGAAATTGATAAAATTAAAATTATAGAGATCAAGTTGACAGAAAAGACAAATTATAAGAATCATGGGTATAATTTACACTAAGTTATTAATCATGTTGGTGCTTGATTATGAGGTTTTGTGATAATAAAATTTGTAGTGAATTTGGTTATGAGATTTCTGTGATGTTTTTTAATTATGACCCTGTCATTTTGAAATGGAGCGCAAGGATCCTCTAGAGTGATTTTTCCCTAAAGTTTCCTAGAGTGCTACATTGTGTGGTTGAGATTTACTGGTAAGTCACATCAATTTTTCTGATGTGACTTGCCAGTAAATCTCAGCCACACACTATAACACTCTAGGAAACTTTAGGGAAATTTCACTCTAGAGGATCCTTGGTGTTTGAAATGATCTGAATAGGTCTTCCTTATGAAACTTTTATACTGTTTTTGTTCTGAGCTAAGTTGGTTTTGTTATGATCCAAATTATTAAAACGAACTAGCGGTTGAATTTTTAAATGCATAGTGAACTTCCTCAATTAGGCATGTTTAGTAACGTTTTTATTTTATGTTTTTACTTTCACAAATCTTAAAAACTGAAAATATAAACAGTTTTGGTAAACTGTTCCCATTTCCAAAGCATGGCAACAATTTTCCAAATTCCTAAAAGTTCAGAAAGAAAAAAAATTAAAAAAATCACTCAATTCATTTTTTTTTCTTCTTTTCATTCTTTTTCCACCCTTTTGGCAACTCGTTTTTGTTTTGTCTTATTTTTTTATAGGGTATTTGTTTATAAATCCTTCTTCACCTACTTATGTTTCACTTTGTCTAAATTATTTTTTATATTTTAATAAGTCTTATGTGTGATATAGTTACCAAAACACTCATAATAATAATATTCACATTGACAGTGTGAATATTCACACTATCAATGTTATTAAGTTTTGTAATTAATAATCCTGTTTGACAAAACTTCTTTCAGTTGTAATTTTATTTAATCTTTTATTTCAGTGAGGTTATAAGTTTTTAGATGTGAATCCAACCCAAATTGTGCTTTGCAGAGAAATTTATGATCTTAATTCTTTCATGTTTGCCACTTCATTGACTATGTCAGGGATCAAGCAAAAAGCAAAAACAAATCCAACCCTAAGCAAAAAGTAAAAATGCACTCGAAGTTATTTGACCGCTCGAGCAGTCATTTGTGCGCTGAAGCGGAGAAACAAATCATCCAATATTTTTGTAGAGCGCTTGAATTTCTAAGAAGAAAGTTTTACCGCTCGAGCGGTGAAAGTTGCGCTCAAGCAGTCAGCTTATATGTTTTGACCGCCTTTAATCACACCGCGCGAGCAGTGAAAGTTGTGCTTGAGCGGTCTTTGCGATTTTGTTTCTTTATATTGTCCCTAAAAGATCATTTATTATAAATTATATTGTCCCTAAAAGATCATTTATTATAAATTTTCAAATTTTATCGCTAGAAATCCTTTTTTTTTCGAATTTTTTGAGACAATCATTTAACAACTATCTTGGTAATGATAGAAATTGAATCTCAAATATTTTTTGCAATAAAATTTTTAGTTTTCAAAACAAAAATTTAGTTCCTAAAACTCTTATTTATTGTAATTGGGATATGCTATCGGGTTATTTGTCTTGCTTATTTATTCCATATGAAATATCATGATCCCAAAATATTCTTTTCTTCTAATTTTTTCCCATAAATAAATTTTCTTACATCTTCCCTCTAATTTTTTCCCATAAATAAATTTTCTTACATCTCCCTCTTTGTGAGGTGTTTTCTTCCCTCATAGTGGAAGTTTGCTGGATTTTTCCTTCTCCATCCCGCCAATGTGGATCAATCTTGTTCCCTCCTCCTTTGTCTCTCACCTAGCCATCACCACCATTCTGCCGCCAGATTTACTACGAATCTGGCCCGTTTCCACAGATCTGGCTGCTGTTGATTTGAGGTCAAGTTTTCCGATTTGTCTTGTTTTTTTGTTTTTAGTTTGGTTTGTTTATGGAGTCCATCAATATTTGATGTAGTTTACCCACTCTATGATTGTAACATATGATCTATCTTAGATATGCTTTACGGCCAATTGATTGGCCATTGTTGTGCAGTACGAGCACAAACACGAATTGTGCATCTGTATTTTTTTTTTCTAAATTTAATCCTGTGTGTTTCTTGATTTCATCTACTTTCTTTTTTTTTTTTCCCTTAGTGTAAGTTTTTCTATTAAATAGATTCTTATTTATATGTGCATTTGGTTTCATTAATGAAAATTTTTTTCTTATCAAAAAAAAAAAGAGAAAAGGCTCTGATAGATTTCTCGGAAGATAGGAATTGTTCCTTGCTCCACTCAGCACTCAATAATTGCTCTGGTCCCAATCTCTCCAAACCAGTCGCTGTCCCTTGTTTCAGTTACCAAGGTAGCAGCTCTTTAATAGTGGAAAATGATTGGTGGCCCTAAAAAATTTGCCCCTAATGCCCCTAATTTTCATTTTTAGAAACTGTTTTCTTTTTTTCTTTCTTTTTTCCTTTTTTTTTTTTTTTTTTCCCAAAAGTGGAATTTCGGGGCATTCGAGCCCCGAAATTTAGGGCCCTCAAGCAGCGCTGTTAGTTATAATGTATTGTAATCCTTTTACTTAGAAATATAGTATGAGATATAATATTTTTAAGATATGAGATTTATTATATATACTTTCAGATTAATTTTACTAGTATATTTGATTAATATATTATAAAAAAATATAGATATAAATTATAAAATAAATTATTTTTTTATATAAAATTTGATTAAAATTTAATATAATGGTAATATCACGTCATCATTAATATGCGATATCACCAACTAATAATAAATAAACATATAGAGAGTGAACCTCACATGTCAAATGTAACTACCAATCCAATAAATTTCATATCTTTATAGTGAGATTACTTATATTTACATGTCAATAATAATGAAATCACCGTTACATTTAAAATTTTCATAGATAATATGGTTCATAGTAGTTTATTCATTTTCAATCAAAACAACTATTATTATTTTTATAATTTTTAAAATATTATTGACATTTCACTCTAATAATATTTTTGTAATTCTTTTTATTTAAAATATTTTCTTTATATTTGCCAAAAAAATAAAAAAATTTACAAAATCCAAGGGGGCACGTGACCCCCTAGTCCTTACGTGGCTCCACCACTGACAACAATAACACCTACTCATCATTTTGATTGATAGGATTAGAAAATGAGATTGAGATTATTAATCCGTGAACCCACTAATCATGTGTTTGTTTTAAAATTTTGTTTCATGATTATTAATCCAATGGATAATTAACCCAACAAATTATATATCCTGAGTTAAGAAATAAAATAAAAAGACTCTGTAATGACCCAATTTTTTTTTTCTTTTTGTATAAATAGCCAGTGCATAATTTAGTTGAGCAAATTTTAAGCCTACCCATTAAACTTACATAGACATCAGTTTGACATCAGGCTTAAAAATTTTATTTTACATATTGCTATTAAATTACATTATAATTTTAAGTCTACCCTATAAACTTATGTAGAAAACAAAACACCAAAATAAAAAATCTCAAAAACTCAAAAATTGTGTTTAAAAACTCAAAATTAAATAAAGTGAAATTTTTTGTAAAATTAACACACATTTCTTTTTTTGTTCATTATATTCAAAATTACTGGGCAGGTGTATTTTTCCTCTTAAATATATTTTCTTTAATTTTAAACATAAATAAAACTAAATAAATTAAAATTGACGGACTTAAATAGAAAAAGACCTAATAAATAGACCCACTTAAAATTTCATCTCATATTTTTAGTCTATGATTGGTCTCTCTCACTCAAATAATATATGCCTCATCTTCTTCTCTTTTTTCCGCACTAACATATTTCACTTTTGCTTTGCGTAACACAGTTCTTTTTCGCTTTTTGTAATTCCTTACTTCCAGAACTTGCAAAGTTTGTTGTTTTTAATTTTTATTTTTAATAATATATATGAAGAATTTTACAAAATAAATATTTTAAATCATCAAAATTGTACTTGTAATGGGTCTCATGAGTTTGGACATAAGAGCATCTCCAACGGTAATAGGCATTTTACCTATTTAAACATTACTATAAAGTATATATTTTATTTTGTCTATCAACTATTTCATGTTTCT